GGAGGAACTATTATCTACATAAAATGACAAGAGTGTGTTGAAAATCGGCAGATGTTACATTCCACCTTGGACCAGGTACGAACTTTAACATGTGTGAAACAAAGGTTCTAATGAAGCAGTGAAATAACACAACAGGCAGCTCATATTACAGCCCTCGGAATTAATTTCAAATTTACGTTGGAAACATAAGGGCCTTATATCAAAGCCAGTGTGGAAAACTGCAGAATTGTTTCCAGGTGCTCAAAGAGTGATTAGCAACACATGTTTCTTATACAAACCACTCATCGTTGAGGCTTAGGGGTTTATGACTGTTAAGCTGTTAACATTACTTAAGTGATTACAGTTGGCAGCCGTGCAGCCCTATGAGGCAGCATTACCTGTGCGCGCACATTCAAAGACATAGTTCAGCAATATGTTGATCAATACCAAAATATTGCAATTTTTCCTCTTGAATTCTGTTGATATGTGCTGTATTAGATGATTGGATTAAAAACTCCCACTCTCCTTCCAAAAACTCATACTGACTCTCGAATACTTTCTTGTCTGATGTAAAAAGTCAGATGTTCCAAAGCTGTAATTTAAATACAACTTCATGTTTTGAGCTGTAGAATCCATAGAAATCGTGAACCCCAGTCGTATGGCTATGATCACCCAAATTGCTCAGTGCGGACGTGTTTATGTTCGGTCGAGTTATGGAAGGATCTTGTAGAACACTGGCAGTGTCCCTACTATTAGGCCAGAAGCTTCTGGTTCAAGTTCCACCTGTATCATAACATATTTATATTGGGGTGGGCACAGTGGCTGAGTGGTTAGCACTGCTGTCTCACAATGACAGGGACCCAGGTTCGATTCCAGCCTTAGGTGACTGTCTGTGTGGGTTTCCTCCAGATGTTCCGTTTTCCTCCCACAGTCCAAAGATGTGCAGGTTGGATGAATTGGCCATGGGAAATGCAGGGTTACGGGGATAGAATGGGGGGGGGTGTCTGGGTGTAATGCTCTTCGGAGGGTTGGTATGGACTTGATGAGCCAAATGGCCTGCTTCAACACTGTAGGAATTCCGTGATTCCATGAATCAGACTGAAAAATATAAACTCTCCTAACCCATTTCGTTCAGCATGAAAAACCATTGTACGTCTAAATAAAAACTGAAAGAACTGTGGATACTGTAAATCAGGAACAAAAACAAAGTTGCTGGAAAAGCTCAGCAGGTCTTGTAGCATCTGTGAAGGAAAAAACTGTTCTGAGGAAGGGTCACTGGACACGAAACACTAACTCTGTTTTTTCCTTCACAAATGCTGCCAGACCTGCTGAGCTTTTCCAGCAACTTTGTTTTTGTTCCATTATATGTCGAACATAGATTTTGTGTAATATTTCATTCTGTAGCTTAGATATCCTGGGCATACTGATGACAAGTCTATACCTTTCTCGAGACTTGCAAAGTTGACTGTTTACATGCAATAATGCTGTGCTACAGTTTGTACAATTGTAACCTGGACTAGTATTATCCCCCAAGTAATTCTGTTAACAGCAAAACCTGTCTCATAGACTTGGCCTTAAGTAACCAATTGTCCCAAAGACATTGAGCCTAGGTTGCAATTTCCAAACTTCAGTATTGGTTCAATCTTAAAAAAGATCCATTTCCTTAATTGCTGATATAAAGAGAACAATGACTTTGGATCGGAGATTCTATGAAACTAGTGATGAGAAATTCTGATGTATTTGGTATTCTTATTAACTAAAAAAGCACTCTCTTTCAAGGCCGAAAATGCAGGGCAGCCCTCAGTAGGTCAGAGCAACATCTCTTGAGCAATTGCCAGAGAAGGTCATGAACCTGTAAGGTTAACCCTGTCTTTATCTCCCCAGGGAATGCCTGACATCTTGAGTATTTCCAGCATTTTATTTTATTTTCAAATTTTCAGCACCTGCCATATTTTATTTTATATATTTTTTTTCTTTACAGTTTAGTTCTAATTGATTTGAAGTTTGCTCGTTATGACCTAATTCCTTTTTTAAACTGAAAAAAGTGCTGATTCCCCTCTTTGGTTTTTTACAAACTAAAATAATATGCAGAAGTAGTGTTGGGATTAATATGAGTATCTTTTCTTAACATAGTGGTTTTTTTGGTAATTTTTTTGTAAATTCTGCAAAAATTCTTAGAACAAGAGGTTAAAGAAAAAGCAAGTTGTGTGTGTCATTTCACTTAAACCACTCTAAGACAAAATAAGACTGTCAAACAATCTTGTTTGTGGGAGTTTGCTTTGTGCAGATTGCCTGCTATGTTTCCCATATTAGAATAGTGACTGTTTCAAAAAGTACTTCGTTGGCTAGAAAGTGCTTTGAGGCATTCTGAGATTGATACATGTGCGGCATAAATGCAAGTTGGTTTTTCTTTTTCTTCTGTGGCTATCGTTGTCAATGTTTGGTTGCAGAAGTTGACTCATGACAAACCTTTCCCCATTATTCGAAAACTATTATCAGCCAGAAACAAGTTATTTTCAGCTTCAGGATAACACAATTGATAGCAAGAGTTTGCAACTTCTATCAAGTGCCTTCCAATGATCGTTGGCCCAGTAGCAGCAAAACAACTCAGATAGTCATTATCCATGTCTGTCATACTGCTCTGTCCTCAGGATTGGCTGAATTAATTTGGACTATTCAGCTGTAGCCCATTTAATATGTAAACTTAGCATAAAATTGCTTTCAGTTAAATATTTGGTGTGATAGCAATGCAGCATTATACCCCAAAAACTTTGCCAGAAAGCATGTGTGTTGTTTTTCATGAATAATTTTCAAAGTTGGTAGGTTTCATATTCCCAAGTTGTTGTTCTTTGACTTTGACATAAATTCTTTGTGTAAATGATAGAGAACAGATGAGATCAGGCTTTAATGTGACGCTGCTGTGTGATGATGACCTGCTCGCATTCGCCCAGACATGAACGTGAGCACTACCACTTGGGTGAAATACTGGTGTCTAAAGTTTTTGAGAAGACTTGTAGCTCGGGTTGTGGATGAGGTTGTTGGTTTGTTTGCCGAGCTGGTGGGTTGGTTTGCAGACGTTTAGTCACCATACTAGGCAACATCATCAGTGCGCCTCTGATGAAACATTGTTGATCTGACCTGCTTGTTATTTAAAAAACCGTTTTCAAAAACAACGGCTACCCAAAAAGCGTAGTCCGCCAGTATTTACTCAACAGACACCAACAGGAAGACACAGCACGCCAGGATACACTAGTCACCTTGCCATACATCAAGAACGTATCAGAGAGGACCATCTGACTACTCTGACCACGAGGAATCATGGTAGCACACAAACCCACAGCTACACTATGACAACTAACAATAAGAATAATAGGATCCCATACCCACAACTAACAGGACCAATGTTATATATAAAATCCCATGTAAGGACTGCCAGAAATACTACACCTGACAGACTGGGAGAAAACTAGCTATCAGGGTACATGAGCACCAATTAGCTTCCAAAGGAAACGACCAACTATCACTTATTTCCATACACTTGGACAAGAAGGCCACCAGTTCAACTGGGACAACGTAACCATACTAGGATAAGCCAACCAAAGACACACAAGGGAATTCCTAGAGGCCTGGTACTCAACCCGGACCTCCATCAACAAACATGTGGAAATAGACCTCATATACCAAACACTACGAAGCAGAACCAGAAATGAGGCCAACCACCACACCAGATCGGACCCATATTAACAACAAGCAGGACAGACTGACAGTGGCTCATCGGAGGTGCACTGATGATGTTACCTAGTACGGTGAAGAAACATCTGCAAACCAACCTACTAGCTTGGTGAACAAATCAACAACCTCATACTGGTGTCTATGAAACCATGGCCCTGGTTAAGAAACTATATTTGAGGGAAGTATTACCATTTGGGACATGTTCAAACACTTCTTTTCAATGGCTGAATGCCGCTTACAATAAGTAGCCTTATTCTGTAATGAACCAATTCCTTCATGTTCCACTGTTACATATTGTTTAGTGTGCTGAGATTTAACGTTTTACTTTGAAGAATAAATAACATATCCATCATATTTATTCGAGTACCTTCAGAGGTAGAAAATAATAAGGTGCTACTCTGTACAGGTTAAAAAAGCTTGATCAGATTTACCTACAAGTGATAAAAATATGTGGAAGAAAAGGCATGGTAAGATGCCAGAAGGAATACAGAGACAAATCCCACTGTTCATTGTTTCTGATAATGCAGCACTGTACTAGCACTACACTTCAATGTCGTTTTGGATTTTATGTGTATACTTCCAGTGCTCTTCAGTGTGCTTTAAATTTCTGTCAAGGAGATCACTTCAATTAAATCCAAATTCCCCAGAATTTTTGTTATGTTCGATTAATGTTTATACTGTGATCATGCTGTGCACACCTGAGGCATTTGTGGTACGCTAACTAGGTAGGCTCACTACCTGTCTGTTTAAACAAAGCCAGGGCCTTTAGCAAGAATTAAAACATGGCATTTCTTGCACCAGTGCACTCTTCTAGGTGTGAGAACCACAGATTACGTCTTTCTGCTGGCTTTCTACCAGAGCACAAAATATGGACCTATTTTGTCACAGATGTAACCATTCAAGCTGCTTGAATAGTTTCTGTTTATCTCCTGGGAGAAAATGTACATTCAGTGGTGCTGAAAATTGAAACAGTAGGTTGGCTAGATACCAATGACCACCAACTGGCGGAGGACAGAACAATATTTTTCAAATTGGGGTCACATTAGCATTAGTAAGAGAGACCCACAGGTAGATCAGCACCTCCCACGTTCAACGTTGAGAATGGGGAAAGTCGAATGAATAAACAGCATAAAAATTTTTAAATGTAATATGATTTATGTAATAAGACTTGGCACCCCAGATACCAGTTATATAACACTACGCAGCCAATAGCTTATTCAGTTGAAAATATATTTTAATATATTTTGTTTACCTTTGAAACTTAAGTCCAGTTATTCTGGTTTCTTTAGGTTGCCTCTTCAACAAATTGGCTTCTGGAATCTCAGAATGTGAATGAATTGAAAGCTGAGATCACCTCATTGAAAGGGCTTCTCCTAAGCAGGTAAAGTTAACCTGGATTGGCACTGAAATTTGTCTGAAAGGACCCCTTTACTCTTTGCGCAAAAGGAGCGCCTTCACTAAAAGTTTTGTAAAACCTGATTACCATTCAGTAATGATCCTTAAGATGAGCTTCCTCAAAGTCAAATTGGAAGAACCATGGTCTACTGGGACCAGTGGATCCAGGTTCAATGCCTAATCTACACAGCTAGACAGTCAAAGCTAATGGCTTCAAGATCGTAAGCTAGAGGAGTCATAGAGATCTACAGCACAGAAAAAACCCCTTTGCCCCGACATGTCTGTGCTTCTCAAAAACAACCACCTAATTATTCTATTCCCATGATCAGAAAATAATCAGAAAATGTTTTCACTGCTGATTATAGTCCAAAGGCAGAGGCTGCTCCCCACAGTCATAGCATCTTTTTAACACACACTTTTGGAACTTGAATATCAAGAACAACTTGAAGTTCTAACAAATGTGGAACTGTATTCCAGTAAGAGCACATTCCATTTGAGAAAATAGGCAAAAACAAAAGTGTGCAAGGTGGTAACTGGAAAATACATTTTTAAAGAAGTATTTTTTCAGACAATTGCACAATGATGCCCTCACAGAGCGCTCATTTTAAACTTTACCCTCCATCTTCATCCACCCATTCCCTAATTCATCTTATTTATTGTTGTGAATGGTTCTTAGAGAGTTGGTGTTCCCAGGTTGGCATTTAGTTATTTAGGTTATCTCTATTCTCCTGACACCTTCCTGGGAAATGATCTCATCTTTGACTTTTGGAGGCAGCCTTTACACAAAACCTTGCCATTGTTCTCCCAGTTTGTTGCCATGGGAAATTCCCATAGGATTGTCACATCATTTTTCCAGAAATGTTTTACACATAATGCAGGCTGGCTCACAATCAAAAAAACCCACCAAATTAATAAAATGAGTTTTTTTTTAAAACTCATAGGATGTGGGCATTGCTGACTAGGTTAACATTTATTGCTCATTTCTAGTTGCTCTTGAGAAGATGATGTGGAGCAAGTTGCAGCACTTGACACAATGTTAGTGATTGAATGGTGACATATTTCCAAGTCAGGGGTATTTGTGATTTTGAAGGGGACCATGCGAGTTCAGAAAACGAAAAATGCTGCAGATCGCAGTGGGTCAGACAGCATCCATGATAGACAGCAAGCTAGCTAGCTCTGATAAAGCGTCATCTCGACTCAACGTTAGCTTGCTCTCTCTGTCCGTGGATGCTGTCTGACCTGCTGTGATCTCCAGCATTCCTTGTTTTCAGCATTTGCAGTAATTTGCTCCTAATTTGCAAGTTCTGTTGTTTCTAGTGCCATTGTTCCCTCTATTTGTAGAGACAGTGGGTTTGTGAGTTGCTGTCAGAGAAGCCTTGATGTATGACAGCAGTAGTTTTAGATTCCTTAGGATTGTCATCCATATTCTCACTGAGTATTATTTATTTTCTTGAGACCAATGACAGTAGCCTTTCTTGCATCGAGACCCAAAGGAATTCCTATGCCAACCAATTTCTTGTAATACTGTTATGTCACCCTGGCATTATAATGTGATCCTTTGCTCTATAAACTGAATATAATTATTTTATATGTAATCATGTAGGTTTCTAATCTATCTCACAATGAACACACAGGGAACCACCTAATCAGCCTACATCATGAGGCAGACCGGTTGTTTCTCTCAATAGAATTTACTAACTCACCTTTAGAGACTCCCTAGGTTTAGCAGTTTGATTTCTGTCTCTTTCTTTGTCTGGGATTTGGTCAACAGGACTGACAATTGAATCTGTCGCAGTCTTTCTAGAGGTGTATTTTCCCAAAAACTTCCATACTGTGAATATAGGTAGAGAACTTATTACACCATCGTCTTTAAAGTGGGATCGTGAATCAAGGTAAAAACTAAAAGAACTGCGGATGCTGTAAACGAGGAACAAGAACAGAAGTTGCTGGAAAAGCCCAGCAGGCCTGGCAGCATGTGTAAAGAGAAAATCAGAGTTAACGTTTCGGGTGCGGTGACCCTTCCTTGTTCTGATGGTGCCAGACCTGCTGAGCTTTTCCAGTAACCTGTTTTTGTTCATGAATCAAGGTAATCATTTCCAGGCTGTCTCGCCAATTATTGGGTGTGCTCCGTAACATATTGGTCTCTTCTTTGTAAACAGTCTACCACTCAGCACCCAGGTGGGAAAGGGAGACTGGCCCTTTTGAGAATTAACCCTCAAAAACTCCTGAATCTGACCATATCTCAGAAATCTAGGTTGAACCAATATTCTCTGTGAGATCTAATAACTAACCACTGCAAGGCATGAAAGGCCCATCCAAACTTCAGAACTTTACTCCAAAAATATTCTTAAAAGATTCCAGGCTTCTCACACAATGATTTCTCCTCCTGTAATTGATAATAGTAACTTGCTCCTTATTTATAAAGGAGTGGGTTTTGTGATTCACCTCACTATGGATTGTCCAGAGATTTTTCTCTGGTGTATCAGCAGGGATTTTTCAGTGATCCAGTGTCTATTTCAGCATCGACCTTTTCCAGAGGACCTTGGCCATGCGTGAGCAAAGCAAGTGAAGGTAAGGCTCTCCGGTTAAAGACTTCTTGCTAAGGCACTTGAGTGTAAAGCAGGAAAGTTTTAAAACGCAAGGAGTATAAATTACTTTTAAAATATGTGCTAGAAGCAGAATAAATATTGAGACATAGAGATGGAATTAAGTGAAAGAGAAAAGAGACAAAAAGGGAAGTTCAAGAAGATCTGAAGTCTACAACAATAACTTTGCTCTGAAGGGATGAGATTCCACACTTGTAACTTGTTTACAGAACCAGACACCATTATAAATTCACTGAGTTATTAAATGTATTATAATAACCTTTTCAACAGTGCTTAGTGTGGAACTTTGTTGGCAAGGTTTAGCAAGTTCACATTTTTCGGAGATTTCAATGGCAGTGAGGACTAATACTGTAGAGAAGCAGTGTGGCTCTGATAGCAGCAGCATTTAAAATTTGAGGACACCAGAGTTGGTCATATTACTATAGAAAGGTCCAGGCCATTGTCTTTCAGTCTAAGATGGAGTTTGAGATTAATGAGTGATCATCAACAGCATAATTGAATGCAGACGTTCTCTCTATTGAGCTTGAAATAAACAAAATTCAGAATTATGCTGTTCTTAAAATCAGATAATCGTGCAGTATTTTATTTAAATCATTTGTAGACTCCCTGTGGAAGGAGAAAATCACTTTACCTTTAGGCAAAAAAAAACTTAGCCCCTTAGAATTATAGTCAAGGTTATGGGGAAAAGGCAGGAAAGTGGAGTTGAGGATTATCAAATTAGCCATGTTCTCATTGAAAATAGGAACAGATTCGATGGGCTGAAAGGCCTACTTCTGCTCCTGTATCTTATGGTTTTGTAGTGTACAAAAGCCTAACTAATTTACTACTGCTGCTGCAGTTATTCCCAGTGGATTTTTCTGAGACTTAGCTCCTGGTTATTAACACTCAAAATCTTGTAATTTGGTTGCAGGCGACAGTTCCCATCTTCACCCTCAGCTCCAAAGATACCCGCCTGGCAGATTCCAGTCAAGCCATCAACAATAACCACATCGGTAACGGCCAATCACAACAACAGCAGCAGTGACATCTCACCGGTCAGCATTGAATCTGCTTCATCCTCTCCAGCCACAGAGAACCATAGCCATGAAGGGGCCAGTCTCAGTGGCCATGTCATTAACAGCAGCAATGTTGACGTTAAATGTCAGGTGAGGATGGAAGTCCAAGGTGAAGAAGATAAAAAACAAGAGAATGAAGATGAGGATGAAGATGATGATGTCAGTCATGTGGATGAGGAGGATTGTCTGAATGTACAGACAGAGGATAGACGAGGTGGGGATGGACAGATAAATGAGCAAGTGGATAAACTACGGCGTCCAGAAGGTGCCAGTAATGAGAATGACATTGACTAATTTGCAAATGTGACTGGCCTCCACAAGCAGAAAGTCCTTAATTCCATTAATTGACTGTAAATATTTGCTTATTGCATCCTGAGTGGTGGATTTTTGCAATCCAGCAAATTACACATGTAGCACATGTAAACTCCAGATGTATATGTGTGGCTAGTTACACCCAGGTACATTTTGGTGCAACATCATTGCATGACCAGGTCTGAAGAGTCAAGGGTTTATTTTAGCACGCAAAGAGTGAAGTGCCTCGTTGGCGAAGAAGTCAAAACGCTCACTGTAATCTACCTGGTCATAGATTAAAGACCCCATAAAATTCCACACTTTGCTTGTGATGTGTTTTGTCAGCACTTGGTCAACTATCAATATGATTCAGAATCAGCCAATTAATCGCTTGGGGATCGGTCTCAACTTTTGTATGAAGTAGTTGTGACAAAAACAGCACTTTCTTGGGTGTCAGCTGCTAGAAGCATCTCAAGAACCTGGTGCAGTTGAAGCCTGCTAAGAACATGACTGGAAATGATGAATTTGTGTTTGAACAATTAGTGTACAATAGGAGTGAATGGAAATGGCGCGTTGATGTTTCATGTTTGCATTAGAACATCTTTGCATTTGGGTTCAACTGTAATTGCAGTACACGCAATCTCAGACTGAGATAGACCTGCTGAATGAGACCGTAGTAAAGTTGATTTTCTTTCGTTGGGCAAAGTAGTATCCAAGCTACCTTCTAGTTTGAGTTCAGAAAACCTTGATGGCTATTTGTATAATCTCAATGTTAAGAGGAAACGTATTGTCACGTTGAATGTCACAGTGTTGGACAGTAAGGTCATTGTGGCAAATCCTGGATTCAGAAGATGTCTCTGTTAGCTCTTAGTTTCATTTCATGGAATTACTCTATTTTATTTCATTTCTAGGCAGCAGTATAGTTTTATCTTGTGACCCAAGAGTGACGATTTGATATGACACATTCATCAGGCATTGCACCCCTGACTTCTAATCCGGCTCCTAATTAATGCAGAGTCATTCAGCAGTGCAGTTGGTAAAATGCTGGTATCTTGCATGCTTTGTGTGAGGCTGGGGTTTGCTTGGAAAAGCAACATTACTCATGACATTTTAAGCACCTTTGCTTTAATTTGTTTTGTCTCGGTGAAAAGTTTTTAATATAAAAGGCAAAAGAATGGTGATAGTGGTAGAGAACAAGGTCATGTTTGTCGGGGCTGCATTTGTGATGTTTAAATTAAACTTTACAGCCAAGCATGAGGTGGTTTGACACGTATTAATTATGAAATACAGTTTAGGATGGAAGCAATCAGGCATTATATCTTTAAAGTTATTTAATATACAGTACTAGGGTGGAATAGAACCATATCAAGGATATTTTGGACAGGAGTGGGAGAGGTTATAAATAAAAATAAATTGAATACGTTGGCTTTGTAATTTGTAAACCTTAATTTTGCAATCTGCTTTTTATAATTTACCTACCCCCCCACCACTCCGTACAACTTCCCTGGCCCAAATATCATTGTGATGCCTTTCAAGCAGGAAGGTGTTTATTTTCAAACATTGTGAGCCACCATATTTTGCCTGGAGTTCTTTGATTGCTGAGTAATTATTTCAGTGGTAATTATTTTAATCAAACATTCAAATTATACAGTTTTGCATTTGTGCTGAAGTTACATCACAGGTAAATTTTACGATGAAAACATCCTTGACCTTTCTGATGGGAGGAATTCCTATTTGTTTACTTATCTAACAGGCTCAGAGATAGTCTATTGACATTAGATTAAATACCGTGACGAACATTAAAAATAAACTTCCAGATCAAGGTGATGAATAATAAAACATGGTTTATGACTGATCTGGAGATGTAGCTGTCTTCTCCAGTGTTGTTTTGCTAAAGCAGAATGAAACAACACCTTGAGGAAAGGTGATTTAGACGGGCTGGTGATTCAAATTCAGTTAGAAACCAACACTTCCAACTTACTGTTCCAAATTGCAGTTTGCAGGCAGTAATTTGGATTGCACGTGACTTTTGGAATTTGGAGCAAATGCTGCACCACATTAACTGATTTGCCTGGAGGCCCAAACAAAATGACAGATGTTCAACTATATTGAATTTTAACCATACACTGTTTGATTTTATTAAACTTCATTGCCAAGTGTATTAAGATCCTCAGAAAACTAGAATTTTTGGCAACAGGAAAAGGCTGTTGCATGGATGTTACAGCATAGAATAAGATCATTCGGCCCAATTTGTTGCTGGTGTTTATGGTCTGCACAAGGTTTCTCTCAATCTTCTTCATTCAGTCCTTTTCTGTTTGATGTTGACCCCACCTTCTTTACTGTTCCATCGTTTCTTCTTTGCCACAAAACTCATTAATATTAGAGCCATCATTTTTCGATTTAACAAAATGCTTGACTTACCTCCTTACTCCTGCACTGATTTATCATTTGTGTCCTGTGATACCATAGCTCTGGCCATTAGTGAGTGGTTTACATGAATTGAACTTGTCTCTTCTTTTCCAAAAAAAAGTCAGGCCTAAATTACTTTTAGCTTCCTGATAACTTGCTCATATCCTCCTTTTTGATACTTTTAATCAATCTGTTCAGACATTGTAACACCCTCTGGAGTAAGTGGGATTCGAACTTAGGTCTTCTGGCCCCTTTTCTCTCTTTATTGGAGCCACACACTGGTAAACAGGTGTCCGCTTCGAGTTCACTCTCACCCCGATCAGATGATCGTGTATTCATGTACCTATCCAGAGCACATCAATTGGCACAGATGCAGTACTTGGAGAGTACTGCACTGTTGAAGGTGCCATCTTTTGAAGAGGGCATTTAACCGAGATCAGGTTTGCCATCTTGTGATTGTAAAGATACCTTGGCACTGTTCAACATTGACCTGATACCCTGACCAATGTTTATCCTCAATAAATATCAATGTCTATATCGCTGTTACAATCTTGTGTGGAGATTGCATTTCTTATATTAGGGCAATAACTATGTTTTAAAATGTTATATTTTTCCAAAATTCTCATATAGGGTTAGGGCATTACCAGATGGAATGGTAATTCCATTGGCAAGACCAGAATTTGATGCCCTTCTCTAGTTTCCCTTGAAACCAATTAGCTTTTTAGGACGTTTCAGAGGACAGTTAAGGGTCAGCCACATGGCGGTGGATCTCCTGTTGTCTCTAGGCTAGACCAGGTAAAGACAACAGATTTCCTTCTTAAAAAAACAATAGTGAACAAGATGGGGTTTTAGGACAGTCAACAATGTAACATGGTCAGTATTAGACTGACTTTTAATTGCATATTTTAAATTCAGTACCTGGTATGGCGAGATTTGAACCCTTGTTCCCGGCACATTAGTCTGGGCCTTTGAATTACTAGTCCTGTAACATTGCAAATATGCCATCGCGTCCTTAATTGGCTTTAAAGAGTTTTGAGTTATCTTGGGATCATGATGTTTCTTTCTGCAACATTTTTCTCCAACAAATTTCTGTTCGTGGGAAAATGGTAGACCAGACTCGGAATGGAATGGTGCAACTATTATGTGTGTCACATGTGGAATTGGGTGTAGGAGCTAACAGACAATGGATAATATCAGATCTAAGGGATACAGCAGTGTGTGAATTGCTTGAAAGGGAATTGAAAACTAAGTTTTGAACTTGCAGCAATGATATTAATGGTGTTAAATGTGAGCCATAAAGTCCTGGACTTTGTAGCTGGGATGTGTGATCAGTGCAGTTAGACTGCCCTTTCCTGCAGGTCCTGACCTGAAACGTCGACTTTCCTGCTGCTCTGCTGCCTGACCTGCTGTGTTCTTCCAGCTACACACTGTATTGACTCTGACTCAAGCATCTGCAGTTCTTGCAATCTCTACAGGTATCCCTGCCATTCATCTGACAAGGATCATCTACAAGTAGGAAATGGACTGTTCAGACTTTGTACACAGCTCCTGATCATCTGCTACAGCGGTAAAAAAGAAGATACCATCAAGGATCCCTCAATTAAATTATTAGTCTTAAATTACTGAATGGTGTAGTCTTAAAGGCAGTCCCAATATCCATGTGCAGTTTCAGTAAGTGGTGAGTAATGTGACAAGTCATTCCCTCATTAAAATTGAGCTTCCATATACTTGCCTACACGTAGATACCTTTTTGGCCCTGCATGTCCACTCATTGGAAAATGGCAGATTGAGGCGGAGACGGAGAAAATCAAGAACTTACAGTCTTCTTTACCCACTTGTACCCTGATTAGAGACTGCCTTTAATCTGTGTACTTGCATTCATAAGCACCTTAGACATGATTTTTTTTATTGCTTTATGGGATGTGGACAAAGCCAGCATTTGTTGTCTATCCCTAATTGTCCTTTATCTGAGTGGATTGCTCGAGTCACTTCAGAGGGCAGATAAGAGTTAATCACATTGCTGTGAGTCAGGAGTCACGAAGGCCATTCATTTGGGCTTCTGGATTACAAGCTCAGCGACATTACCACTATGCCAAAATCTCCCACAACATAGACAATCTTTAGTAACTGGTAATATCTAGGCACAATTCATTATATTAACAATGAAAGGAATCTAGGACAAATAAATAGCTGAATTAAAGGAATTGAGGGCGTGGTTCAGATAACGTCTTGATATAGAGGTACAGGAAGTCTTAAACATATGTATTATCCAAAGCAAATCTTTCACATTGCTTCAACGGAGAAGTGATAGCCTAGTGGTATTATCGCTGGACTGTTAATCCAGAGACCCAGACAACATTCTGGGGACCCAACTTCGAATCCCGCCAAGGCAGATGGTGGAATTTGAATTCCATAAATATCTGGAATTAAGAGTCTAATGTTGACTTGCCGATTGTCAGAAAAACCCATCTGGTTCACTAATGTCCTTTAGGGAAGGAAACTGCCATCCTTACCTGGTCTGGCTACATGTAACTCTACACCCACAGCAATGTGTTTGACTCTTAACTGCCCTCTGGGCAATTAGGGATGGACAATAAATACTGCCTAGTCAGCAATGCCCTCATCCCATGAATGAATAAAATAAAACTAGCTAAAGTCATAAAAAAAATTTTCATATGACAGACTTGGGCCGAAAGGCTTTATCCGTGCTGTGGACTCTATCAATCTATAATTTGACTATCATTTCTGCCACAGGAGAACTAAACTATTGTCTTTGAATCTTTTAACGTTCAGAGATCTTCTGCATATTGCATGATAGCTCGTCTTTTCTGGGTTGATTTTGCTACCAGCCAAGTTTCTGAAGCCATGTTAAAACTGAACATAAAAACATAGATTGTAGGAGCAGGAGT